TTTAGCTTCTTAGTGCTGTGCCTCAACCTGCTGCACCACCAGGGAGGGCCCCAACAAGTTTTTTAAAAAGACACTATAAATCACCTCACCTACACTTGTAAAAACAATCATGCATATAAAAATTAACAATACAGTAGTAAATCAGTTTTATATTCAGTAAATTCTTTTAATATAACTTTTTGACCATCCATTGTTTTATTTCACCGTGGTTTTAAATATGTTGGGATTCATTCAACACTAGGCAAAACAAAGGCTAACTTAACATGAGGCCATGGAAATTTCAGCACAAAAACATAGTGTAAGAAAATGTCAGTGACTCACAACATTTGAGTATGGTGGAATCATCCTCTTGTGTCTAATTTTCTTTTTTTTATTATTTTGATACCTGGCATTGCTTTTTTCATATGTGATTCTAACAGTTCATTAATTATATTTGGAATGTAACTCAGAACCTTTCTTGTATAGTCTTATTTAAAATTTGAATTGAGTTTTGGCAAATACAGATAAAAATATTTTCCTGTATAAACCTTGGTCAAAATATCTTGCATTGAGGGATGTTTTTTATAAAATTTGTGTTTTAATAACCAAGAGGTTTATAGCTGGGAAAACAATGATTTGAAAGATATTTTATAGGGTTTGTTTGTAATTATCAAAACTGCAAGTATTTTTTTTTACTGCACTATCAACAAGTGACATTTTCTGCAGTATCATTTTATCTTTGTAATTAGATTCAAGTAAAGCTGAAAACTTAAATATGTGTCTAGATTTTTAAGTTTTAAAAGATCAGTTCTGAAACTAACAGTTTACATAATAGTACTGATTTATCCAGTAGTGTAAAATTATAGTTCCCAAATCTGACTCCCATTTTCTGTGAATGTAGTATATGACTTAGAGATGTATTGGGACTTCTAGTTAAAATTGTATGATATAAAAAAGTTATGTATTAGCATCCCAATACCTCAGATACAAAAAAGCCAAAAGACAAGATATTAAGAACAAGACATTATCATGCAGCAGAAATGAAACAAAATAAGTTATAGGTGGGGCTGAGTAGGCAAGGATGGCTAAACTTGGGCTCCTACAGCATGATGGAACTTTAAAAAAGCATTTTTTTTTTTAAAGATGTAAGACTTGATGATGACTTATCCCTTTGAAGATTTTGCTACTTTCCTCACTGGAGCTTGGTTTGTAGTATATTTTCCTACAAGAGAGGCTAGTTGAGTGAACTGAGGTAGAAATTAGAGGGAATCATACTCAGCCACTAGACAGGGAATCCATACCAATTACTTATGGCTTTTGTTGTTCTGACTGGTCAGGTGTCTCATCTTGAGAAATCATTATCAAGATACCTAGAAAACTTACAAGTGTTTCAAATTTGAAAAACACTTCTAAGTCAGAAGCATAAAGAAAGGTAGAAAATAGAACTGAATAAGATATTACATATACAAATTTGTGAAATTCTACTAAAGAAGTTCTTAGAGCTTGACAGGTTATGATGACAAAAGAAAGGATAAAGATGGATAAGCCAAGCATCCATCTTAAGAATTTAAGTGGAGGAGGGAGCTCCCTTGTGGCACAGGAGTTAAAAGTCTCAACTTCAACCTGTCAAACTGTTGCCAGCCACGCAGCATTAGTTCCATCCCCAGCTAGGGAGCTAACCCAAATGGTGCAGCAGACCTCCTGCTGCACCTGCTGCTCCCCACTGCAGTGTATTTCAGTAGATATACCTGTTCTGTCCTCCACTTTCTCTGGTAAAGCCTCTCACCACCCCCAAATCTCTGGCCTACACTCCCCAACTCTTGTATGCCAAAATAATTTTTTTTTTTTACAAAGTTTATTTTTACATCATTTTGCACATTTTTTTTTCCATCTTGATTGTAATCCCCGCGGGTTTCCCATCACCAAATCACCCCTGTGCCACCACCATAGTCCCGTGCATTTCCCTCCCTTCCCCTCTACCCCCGGTTTTTGATCCCATTCCCCACTCCGCCCCCACAGAATGTCTCTGGTATATGGTTGTTCATTATTTTTGTTATTTTCTCGCCTGGTCCATTATACTCCTGCTATGAGTGAAACCATCCGGTATTTTTCTTTCTCTTTCTGGCTTATCTCACTAAGCATGATCTTTTCCAGCTCCATCCAAGTTGCTGCAAAAGACATGTGTTTCTCTCAAAATATTTTTTTTTAAAAAAAAAGTATCAGGTGAGATCATTTCTGATACCACAAGGTTCAATGTAGTTATGAACAATTTTGTTTCTAAAGTTTGATATAAATCTCCAGAAAAATAAAATTATCAAAGCAGTGAAAGATAATGGCAATAATTCTATAATTAAGGACATTGACTCTTTTTAACAAATGAAAACCTAAGCCAAGGTGGTTTTAATCAGTGCCAACCAAACTCTCAAGGTTCAAGTCTAATTTTATAATAACTATACCAGAATAAAGTTGGTGTGAGAAAGGAAAACTGGTGGCTACTATTAACTCTCAATCAGTGGTGTTAAAATGCAAAACAAAATATTCAGTACCCAATCTGAACCCCAGTCAACATTTTTTTATTATTTATTTATTTGATTTTTAGAACTGCATAGACTGTTTCTAAAGTGTATATAGGTATATGAAATACTAAGCTCAAAGAAACTCTTAAAGAACAGTTAGATAGGAGAGTTTTTTTTTTTTAACCAAGATAGCAAGACTTAATGCAGAGTGATGGTGATATTAAATAATTAAGACAGTGTAATTTTGGAACAGGAATGAAGAACTGGACGTAGGCATGTATACTTGAAATTTGAGAGTATGCAGATAAGTAGGGGAAATAAGAGCATTACAGGAAATAATTCTAGAACTACTTGTTTTCTGTAGGGGTAAAATGGAAATTATTTAACTTATATACTAAGGATTACAGTCCTTAATATGAGTGACTGTAAAACTTTAGGGGGAAGTGTAAGAAACGTAGTCACCTCCTTTGCAGGAATAATTTTAACATATAAAAAACCATGTGAAATTGACAAATATATATTGACTACATTAAAATTAGCAACTTAAATTCATCAAAAGACACCCTAAAATAATTGAAAAGATAAACTACAACTTTGAAGAAAATATTTGTAACATATATAACAAGGTATTAATACCAAGAATAAATAAATTATACATGTGGTTAGCATTTCCCAACTTCTTTGGACTCAGATTCATTTTCTTAACATTAAAACATTGTCAGTTTGTACGATATAAACCAAGATTTTAAATTAAGTATTTAAAATTTTGTTTTTTTTATAGGGTCATTGTTGATTCCCAGGAAACTTTCTAATGATTATAACTGCTTGGCAGTGTAAAATTATAGGTAGTTCATGTCACTATATAGCCATTTACATGTGCTGAAAATAAACTTTTATTCTGATATAAGCTCTTAAATTCCTGGCCTTAACAAATAGCAAATTGATTTATGGCCCCATGGACAAAGTTCATTCTAATCGTGAGATTTTGTGGAAAACTTTGTAAAAGCATTTTACAAAGTTTTCAAATTATAAAATTGTATCTGATGGTTTTGAGGAATCTCATCTTTCATGGCACTTTAAAAATGTATGTTTTATACCCATTTAGGCCGGATACATCAAGCAATGGTAACATCTTTAAATGAAGATAATGAAAGTGTAACTGTTGAATGGATAGAAAATGGAGATACAAAAGGAAAAGAGGTAAGATTACTGGGTTAAATTTTAGTTCTAAAAGCAAGATTCTGAATATAAAAGAAAACAAAAGTTTTTAATTTTTATATAGTAGACATTATTCTTTATCCTTCTTTGAAAACTTCAATTAAACATTTTTAGTCTAAGAAACTGGATTTTTTTTCTGCATATCACATGGTTGGACATAAAATCAAGAACACAAAATGATACCTGAAGAGGAAGACTTTTAAAATATATGTGCTTTATATTTCTGTATAATCTAGTTCTATTGACATACTGTTTCTTAGGCTGAGATCATTTAATGATCTCACTCTTTGTAAATTTATTTGAAAGATGTGAAGGGTTAATTGTTAAAATACACTCTAAAAACATGCGCATTCTTTTTAAAAACAACAACAATAGATTGACCTGGAGAGCATCTTTTCTCTTAACCCTGACCTTGTACCTGAAGAAGAAATTGAACCCAGTCCAGAAACACCTCCACCTCCAACATCATCAGCCAAAGTAAACAAAATTGTAAAGGTTAGTGATGAAAATTCATAGTAGGGTGTGTATATTTTGGGTCGAAATCAGCAGACTGGAGACTATGTTTTAAGAGTTAAGTTTATTTTTTTAAAAGATATATTTATGCTTAGAGAACTGGGGAAGAGGCCAGAGGTGTGGTGGGTAAGAGGTCATCAGAGATAGAGTGGGGAGCGGAGCAGGGAGATATACTGAAATATACTGCTGAGGGGAGCAGTGGGTGGTCAGGAGAGGTCTGCCAGACCATGAGGGTCAGTTCCCTGGCTGAGGATCAAACTTGTGCTGCAGTGGCTTCTGGGAGCTTCATACTTTGGTGCTTTAACCTGTTGCACCACTAGAAAGAATCCAAATTAAGTTTAATTTTAAAAAAAAACAGAAAACAACTTTTTGTCATTTACATGCATATATGAACTCATACTTGGAAAGATTGATACAAAGATTGTCTCATTCACAGGAAATAAGATTTTAGATACCCCCTTCCCTGGTTAAGACGTTTCCTAAAATTAACAACTTCTTGGGAAATAACGGCCAAATTATTTGCTTGTCACTATTTCTTTAGTGAATACATGACTTTCATAAAGAATATATTTTATTAATTATAATATAAATTCACATTCCAGTTGTCTTTTGAAATAGTAATTCTGCTATTTGTTTAAGGAAAATGAGTGTAGTTTGACTTAGTTATATTTTATCCTTGAAGATAAACCATTGCATATCCTTTCTGGCAGTTTTCTCCTTAAAAAGTAAAAAACACTGTGCCTCCCTGGTGGGCCAGGAGTTAAAGTCTCAGCACTATCAACCTGTCCTATCCACTGCAGCATGAGTTCAATCCCCAGCCAGAGAGCTAATCCACATGGCGTGGCAGACTTCTCCTCTTGCCCGCCCCTCCCTCAGCAGTGTACTTAAGTCGATCTGCCTGTTCTGCTCCCCACTCTGTCTCTGATGAATCCTCTCACTGCCGCTGTACTTTTGGCCTACTCCCCAGTTATTTTATGCATAAATAAATTTTAAAAATGAAAGGCACACAGTTTGAATTATTTGTACAGGTAATTCCTCATCTTTTCTACTGTAGCTTTCATTATTATTAAGACTATCTCAAAAATACAACTTTAAACCAGTTAGTCCCTCAAGTTGGATTTACAGTTCTTCGTTCAGTTTAACAATTGGTTCATTTTTTTTCTTCAGTATTATTTACAAAGATAACTATTACATGACAATCTTATAACTCACTTTCTTGTGGGGAAGACATAGTTAAAAAATATGAAAAAAGCTCAACGGTATCAGTATCCTACTTTATAAGCTGTACATGTGAACATAAGGCAGATTTTCAGTTCCTATAATTTCATGTATTTTAAAAGTCACAGCTTAGAGGTCATTAGTTGCCACTGTAAACAGGGTATTCATAGTTTATCCTTCTTGGTAAGTTACTAGTGATGACCACTGTGCATTAAAGTTATCTGAAGAATTAATTTCAGCCCATAGAGTTAGAGGTTAGGGTTAGAGGTTAGGGATTCCAGTGTGTTAGTATCAATACCCTTTTAGTAGTAACCATCTGATTCCAATGTGTTAGTATTGATACCCTTTTAGTAGTAACCATCTGATTTGAATGTTCAGTTAGGTTGAAAAGACTGTTTTTGGATATGATTTTTTTAGGTGAATAAAAAGAAGTCTTGGTAAATGAACAGTAGAACCAAAAATTTCTTGCCCTCATTCTTGTGGTGTTGAAGTCTTTGATAGTACAACGAAACCTTTTAACTGATTGCTCACTTCATATTGTTGGATGTGTCAGTTTAACAATATGTAAGTTCTCTATAACTAATATTTATTACCCCCTTGCATCCAAAGATGAAAATTTTTACATGGTTTTGACAGGTTAGCAGTGATTAAAAGCACAAACTTTAGTGAAATTACAGAATCTCTCCTTAGTTTCCTTATTTATGAAAATGGAATGGCAATAATAATGACTTAATAGAGGAGTTGTAAAGATTTAATGGGCTAACATACAAAGTCCTTAGTGTAGTGAGTATGTGAGTCTAATTCCTAAAGAAAAAAAATTTACACACACTTTTGGAATTAGGGGGAAATACTCATGTTGAGACTTACATATTAATAGCATTAATGGTATTAAATGAGTAAAGAGAAAAAGTAAAACAAGTATTTTCTATTTCATAGAATCGACGGACTGTGGCTTCTATTAAGAATGAACCTCCTCCAAGAGATAATAGAGGTAAAGTAAAAATCAGTCTATTAATTTTTCCTGTTAAAATCTTAATATGACCCTGACAAGGTAAATGAAAAAGTGAGCATTACTTTGATGTTACTTATTTAAATTTATATGATTAATTTTAAGACTAGTATCTTCTTTATTTCTTAATGTAAGAATGTTGATAATATCAAATAATGATTGATTAATGTGGTGAATATAAAAATTGCACGATAATATGCAGTTTTGATTCATTTTATGTACCCAAGTTTTCAGAGTTGGGAATATTATGAGAAGGAAATGGATTAGTAGTTTTTGGATTTCACAAGAATGGATTTAATCATTATGACATTTTTTACATGATTTTGTAGGTAACAGGAGTTCTAAAGGATCATGTGAAACTTAAGAGCTCAAAAAATGTTCAGAGTATATGTCTTAAATTGTGGGTTTTCCATATATTTCCAGCCAGGAAATATAACCATAATTAATTTCTATTCAGGTGAAAATCACTGATATTTTTTCTTTCTAATAGTGATTTTTTTTTTTTGTATTTATGGATTGGATTAGGAAGGATGTAGATATTAGAGGATAAAATGAAGATAGAAGGAAAGTGAAAGTTCCCCATGCTTTAAAAACTGTCCTTTGAATCTTGCAAAATATTTGATTTCTTTGCAATGTATGATATTAGCATTGAACTTTAGCATTTAACTTTACATCCTTTTCCCAGTTTTATAATATCCACAATGGGATATTCTTTGCTGAAAATTTGCATACTTGAGCAAAGAATGGGATTTGGCATACAGAGTTGAAGAGTTATTTTTGTTGTTTAGAGAAAGAAAAAGTTTATTGAGGAGGAGAAGAACAGAAATAAAATAAGACTCCCAGGCCAGGGAGGGGTAAGGGAACCCCAGAGTTGAAGAATTTTTATTTT